TACTTTTACGAGTCTCTCGTCCTTAAAAATTACGTAATGTGGCAGGAATTAATTTACGAACATGAAAGGGATCTCTCAACCGATCTCTCAAATTAAAATAAATCCATATAATAGATTCCAAATGAATTGGCTTTATGTGCAATTATTTATTTATGCAGCTAATTTATAGAGATTTTGCCACAGCTGCATTACTTGACATACATATATCGCATAATGATACCAGTTATGGTTTTAGAGCGCTTGAACTCGCGCGTCGTCGTAACGCTGCCAACGACGCGGAGACACCGAGTTCCGTTTTCTTGCCGGTCGACGTTTTTGTCGTGTGTGCCCCCCCTTCCCCCCTCCCTTACCCTCCCCTCCTCTCCTCCCCATGTGCGTCGCGCGGGGAGAACGGAGTAGACGAGGAGAATCGACCTCCGACAGCCACGATCTTATTATTTTTTTCACGCTCTCTCGAAAGGGGGAATCGTGCGGCGCGGGGACAACGGCGGAAAGAAGAGAAGAAGAGGCGTCCGGGTCGACGACTCTTCTCCACCTTTCTTCGTCTCCACTTCTCTCGGGATCTTCTCCTCCACTTCTGCGTCCGCGTCCTCTCTTCGTCTCCCTTTATTCGCTTCGTCGTCTTTACGCGACCTGATAAGGTGTAAAAAGAGCGGAGGGACGCCGATGCCGCCGAGGTGGAGGCGCAGTTTACACAGTTGGCCAGACGAGGTTACCTAATTATTTGTTAGCTGTCCAATGACGAAACGCCGCGAGGCAACGTCGTGTCTCTTCTCCCTTCTTCTCCTTTTTCTACTAATTTTTTTTTTTTTTATTATTCATGCGTTTCTCGGCGAAACGAGGAGAGAAAGAATTCTTCGCTGTCACCGCGTTGTTGAAACAATAAAACTCTCAATCACTTACCAGTTAAAGCAATATACTACAATATATGATGCGTTGATCTGTTCATTTACTTCTCTAAATGCGAAGAAGAAATGTGAGAAATTTAGTCTTTTCTGTAGAAGAGAAAACATTCCGAAAGAAAGTTGCCGTTTCTATAAAGTATTTTCCTCGCGTATCTCATTTCTTCATCGATGTCCCCGATATTATCATCCGGACCGATCCAGCGACGGGCAAAGCGCTTTGCGATCCGATCTGAGCACACCATATGCCACCGATCTTGAGTATCTTTCGAGATTTACAGCGACTGTATTAACGGCCGCCGGGAGGCCCTCGCGGATGTCACCGCGGGATCTCCCTCTTAGCACCACCGTGTAGTTCTCAAATGCGTCGCATTAGAGAAGACGGAGACACGTCGATCGCCAAAAACTTGCGGGAGGTGGGCGCTCTCTCGCGCGAGGCCGCCGCGCGCGATGATCGATACTCGAGTTGCTGCGCGTCCTCTCCTTATCAGCGAGTCGGCAAACGCGAACGTTGCGTAATTATTTAATTAAATTGTGTCATTATTTGCTGTGGCGACTGCGCCTCGAAACGGTGGCTTGTTTATCTTATTAGTTTATTCTTCGATTCGGAATAATTCCGAATCGCGGAATTGCGCGTGTTCTCCATCGTTCTTCGGCTATTGCTTTTATTGTGATGGCAAAAAATTTATAAACGGATACAAAGAGGCGTTCATGAAAAGGCGTAAGTAGACAGATAGATATAAAGATTCATTGTTTCCTCCAACATTTATTACATTTAGTCAAACCGCCATTGTCATACACGTGAATTTTCGAAAGACAGAGAACCTCTTAATATAAAATAAAAAAATAAGATGAAAAATTATAGAGGAAAAACAATTTTGATGTAACGTTTGAAACAGGCAAACTTTTCATACGTGATTTTGACGAGGGTTTTAAAATTAGTAGGTTGGATCATTATTATTCGGAAAGATGAAGTTTTCTCGTCGCTCCTAAAAGTGTTTCGAAAAGCAGGTACAAACGGATCCCAAACTGTGCATTGTACCGGTTGTCGCTTTACATTATTTTACTGTCATTATCAGCCTCAAAATAGCAAGATGTTCCTTATATCTGCATCGTTCCGACAGAATGGTCATTTATTTCGACTGTTGTTGACTGTTTCCTGTTGACTATTTGTCGACTGTTACTTTATGGCTCATTACGGGCGACAAGTGTGTTCGCACTTCGTCATCTTTCAGGTACGAACACTTTGTTACATTTACACCTCGCTACGTTTGACAAATCTAATTTAATGAGCTACGCGTTAATTTTTTTACTTTAAAATGTAGAAAGACGATTACGCTCTCTCTCTCTCCCTTTGCACTAATAAAATACCGATTAACCTGCGCTATAAAAATTGATATTGTGTTCGGCTCGCTCGTGTCTTGAATCGAAATGAGATCAAGTGTCTTCAATAAAGCAGCCGTTCGCAATTGATGTCAATCGTTCGCTACATTGTAACGGCGAACTATTTAGCCGCGTATAAACGCAAATACTTATATTATGCCATTCTTGCCATCGGAATTTGATTGCCGGCTTACAATCGTCATAATCGCCCCGCTTATAAACGATCGCCGCGTCGTTAGGTCCGAGTAAAGTCAAGTCAGATATTAATTGGAGGCTCGTCGACAATTCCCGGTCGATCGACTCTTTCTTCTCTCTCTCTCTCTCTCTCTCTTTCTTCCTTCTGTCCCCCCCTTTTTTTTTAAACGAGCTTCGCCCGTCGTATCCGGCGCTCGGTGAGAGGAAAACTGGAACTCTCGCCCGTTTGCCAAGTGGGTTAGATTGGGTCGGGTGAGGTTAGGTAATTATAAACCTTCGGCCAGTCGCGTGGGTACGACACTAAAATTACTCACGAATATCCGACTAACGAGGCACCTTTGGCGCCACGAGATATCTCGTTTGTCCCCCACCCTGACAGATTTTCCGAAATCGCGCGCGGGTCATTACGGGATCTTTCCTCCCCATCCGTCCCGCGCGGGCTCGCGCGACGAAATGAAGATATTCTCGGCCGCGATATCATTAAACTTCGCCGGGCGCGGTAAACAACGCCATTTAACTTCGCGCAAAAGTTAAGCACGCCACCTTAAAATTCGCCGACGATCCATTATACAGCGGTGAGGCTCGCGCCGAGCTTTTAATTAACTGGGCGTCGGCGAGATCGGACAGTTTCGAAGAAGAACTCGCAATGAGACTCGTTACAATGAAATCCGTCGTGAATTTTTCCCCGCCGCCCTTCCTCGTAGCTTCCGTTTGACGAGTCTCATGAGCGATGCATTCGTGCATTAATTTGCGCTTTTGTCGGAATAGGTACCGGAATAAATCTTGCAGACACTGTGGCAGTCGAACGTAACTTCGATCGTATCTTCAGTCGACGCTTGAGCTTTTCTGACATATAGATTTTATTAAATGGGAACAGATATATTCTATTTTTTTTATTTTTCTCCGTATTATACACGCACACATACATATGCATAGGGTACAGCGGGGTAATTTGAATAGTGATAATTTGGATAACAGTAAGTATTTGCAAGAATTTCAGAAAAATAAGAGATTTTAAGATATGTTTATATCTTAATAATAAATAAATAATAAATAAATATCGTAATAAAATGTATCTTAAAATCTATTATTTTTCCGAAATTCTTGCAAATGCTTATTGTTATCCAAATTATCCTCACTATTCAGATTACTCCGCTGTACCCTGTAAATAATCAAGCGTCTTATTGTTGCTGGGAATTTTGGCGAGCGGTATTCTGGGTGAAACGCGATAATCGCGTATGGAGCTGGAGACTCTCGTCATAGAGATCGACCGCCTAGTGGCGCGTCCTCGTGCCGCGGAGGGCCGATCCTCTTTGTCCGTCGTTACCGCCGCGAAGCTTTTTATCTTGCACGCCACTTTTCCGCGCGCGTACATATACGTACGCACGCACGCACGCATCCACCCACACGCTCCCGTTCTCCAGGGTTCCGTCCTGCTCTCCTTCGCTCGCTCTCTTTCCGACTCAACAAGTGGACCGATGTTTTCGGCATGGTGCATAGCCCGTGGACAAGAGCTGGAGCAAGAAAGAGAAAGAGGAAGAGAAAGAAAAGAGAGCCACCCACACACTCGCTCTTCGCGTTCGCTTGTCGCCGTGTACCACGAACGTCTGCCTCTTCGTAGGCAAAAACGGTAAGCTTTTCGCGTTAGGGGTTGCTTTCACTGCGTCGAACGGAGCGCTAAAGGGACGAAAGGAATCATCGTCGAGTGAATGTACGAGAAGCGGGCGAACGAGCGAGCGAACGAGCGAGCGAGCAAGCGAGCGAGCGAAGCGATCGTACGGCAGCGCGATGGCGCGCGGAGTGGGGTCCGCGCGCCGGGAACCAGAGGAAGGGATGGGAACCCTTAGCGGCGGGGGGTGGAAGCAGCCGTTGCGATCGCCTCCCCTCGCGACCGCGACGCGTCAGTCTCGTCGCGTGTCTCGTGGTGAGAGGATCTTTCGCGCGCGTTCGCTCTTTCGATTCCGCCGCTTCCTCCGTTTAACCAAGTATAATCGCGACGACAAGTGAATCCGCCAGATATCAGTGAAACGCGATTGCCATCCGTTTGCCCGCCCGCCTGCCTGTGTACGCGCGAAACGTGCTACTCGCTCTCTCGCGGGTCGAAGGAGATGCGGTCTTGGCGATAGGACGCGCCGCCGCCACCACCACCGCCGGACGGGTTTCTCTCTCGCGTGTCTAACCTCGAAAACGGCGACCCCCGACGCCATGCAGCTGGTGGAGCAACGGCAGCAATCGCGCGCGTGTGCGTCCTGATGCGCGTGTCCACGACGCGGTGACGTTCCCCGTGTCTCCCCGTCGAGCGAGCGAGCGAACGAACGATACGGCGCGCTCATGACTCCGCGTGTGGATTCGCGAAGGGGACGAAAATCGTGCAACGATATCGATAGCCGGCGATAAAAGATACTACCCCCGCGCGGTGAGCTTCCGGCGCGCGTCGCATTCTCTCCTCCCTTCGTCCCTCTCTTCTATACATATCTTTCTTCTTCTTCATCCTCTCTCTCTCTCTCTCTCTCTCTCTCTCTCTCTCTCTGTACACGTTCTCGGGATCGTGCGACAAGTGCGTGGTATGTTCGCCCTGACGGGGACGCGACTCCGCACTGCCCCCGACCGTTCCCGAGCCGCGGACTCTGCGAAGCGGATCCTCGTCACGTGACGACGCGTGTTCCTCTCGAGCTCCCTTTCCTCCCTCCCTCGCCCCTCCCCCTCGTGCACCCGGTGAGATTTTTAGCGACGATGACAACGGCGCGAGGTCGTTCGCCGCGAGACGCCGACGTCGCTAGGGTCTGACGCCGGAGCCGCGGTCCTATCGGTGACGCGCGATCTATCGCGCCGCGCGCTCTCGAACTCACTCTTGCCGCTCGCGGATCGTCACCGCGAGTAGCCACGTGCCCGTTTCTCCCCCCGTTGTGCCCCGAACCACCCGCTTGTCCCCGTGTGTGAGTTATGCAGTCCAACACGATTCTCCGCTCCGACGTCGGCAGCACGGAGAAACTTATGGGCAACAATAATCTCAACAACAACGGCTCGCCGGGGGCGGACATAATGTTCCAGATGGAGAACGAGGGCCTCACGCAGTTGGGCAGCGTCTTTCAATCGGCCTACGAGTCGATCGTGGGCGGCGGTCCTCAGGTAAAAAGATCGAGGGATGCCCTCATTCACCGATCCGATTACTGTCGGTGGGTGCGGAAGGGAGGGGGAACTTCCCGAGTTTATCTTCAATATTGGGCGGGAGGAAGTAATTAAAATAACCCGCGTATAAAATAATTTATTATATATAATATATCTTTATTTTCGTGAATCACATTCATTGTAATTTTACCGAGCGAATCGCTCTCCGTTTCTCTTGCGTTTCGACGTGTACGTAGCACGTATACGAAAGGGGCATGATATCGACTGCGATCCAAGTAATCTGGAAAATAGACGAGCGCGCGTATATAACCGACGATTTTCTCCGCAATAATAAAGACTATCAGCAGTATCGTTTTCTCTTAAATTTCAACATTATTATTTCGCTCTCGAGTCAAGTTTGTAGCAATTCGCAATCGGCGCCTCTGACTCGTCGAAATATACGATTGCGCTCGCGTCCGATGTAATTTAATCTGTACGATATCATGTCTGATGTGTGTGTGCGCGTATATAACGCAGGAGAGCGTCGAAAAATCGTATATCGCGAGGAATCTTTCCCGAACGGAAGAGGCGAGCGGAACTTTTCGCGGAAAATCTAAATCCCCCTCGAGATCCCGACGACGTCTCGGCGCGGGAAAGACGTTTTCCCCCAAAGCGGATTGCGCGTCAATCGCGAATAGGGGTGGATGGCGGCGCGGCGGCGGCGGCGGCGGCGGCGGGCGGCGGCGGCGGAACGGATTGGAGGGACCGTACACGTTTTACGATTTTCCCCCCGTGCATCCGAGCGACGGAGCGTGCGGAGCACGCTATCGGCATAGTGACGTCAGAATTACGTCATGATATGGCCGCTCTCACGTGGGCGGGCTCGTCGTCGCTACGGCTTGCTCTTTTTGCGTCCTTCCACAATTGTACAGGATGCTCTAGAAATTTTTATGACCCCGGCGCGCAACGCGAAACTCTCCGAAATTTGTAAAATTGGGGGTGGGAGCGGGGGGCACGTCGCGTGTGGTCGCGGCGACCTTTTCGGCGAAATGTCGGAGGCACGAACTCGCGAACTGCACCCGCCCCCTCCCCTGTCGATCGTACGTCGATTGAAATTAATGGTACGCGCGCTAAACTTTCGAGCTGATTTGAATAAACGACGGCTTGCGGACTCTCTGGATTGCGACCTGATATGAGATCCTTGAATGTCAGAGGGCGGTTGACGCGGGCTTTAGCTGCATATTGTTTCGGGAATACTTTTCCAAAACCGATAGGTCGGAAGACGGCGCCGCGCCGCCATCGGGGAATATCGCACGGCGCTCCCTCGAAACTAGAACGGGCGGATATCATTCGGGCGCTCTGGAGATAGGATAAATCCCACGTCCTGTCGAGATAGCGTATCCTTTCTTCCCGCGCTATCGGCTAATATTGCTCGCTCTAGTTTCACAAATGTAATCTGCCTGCCTTGCCGCCTGGGTCCTCCGGTATTGGGCGTGTTGTATTTGTGTTGTATCCGTCGCGGCCTTCTCTCTTATCGTTAAAAAATAATGAATGTAACTCGTTCGGGTCGGATTTGCCAGTCCTTGCGGAGATAAAAAAAGAAAGAGGACCGGATGAGGACGCGTCTTTCGCTCGCGACGTGCAACACTCTCCGAGAGCGGGACGGAATATATCGTTGCCAAAATATACACGCTCGGCATTCCGACGCGGCTCGCGGAGCACTTCGGCGGCGCGATAAGACACGACCGGCCTGTAAGAATTTCGCGAAATCAGAAATTCGCTCGGCGAGAGCGAGAGGGGAGAGGAGAGTATCACGTCGGGAATGCCGGGACTGCAGTCAGGGGGGTAAGAGGGGGGGGGAGAAGGGGGACAATGTCTATTCCGACATTGCGAGTCAGCGCGTATACGGCGAAGTGACTCATCATCCCCGCATTGTTTCGTTAAATGGAATTTCTATCTAATTTAAATGCGGCTTAGCTAGAAATAATGCGATTATGCGTTAGCTTATTCTGTTTGTTAATCTCCTTTGCACACCATTGTTACCCCGTCGGCGGGCGAGGGAGACACGGGGCGGCGGAGGGCGACGGAGAGAGCTCTCCTCCTCCCCTTCCCCTCGCCCTCCGCTTTGCGTTCCCCTTGCCGTTTTGTACGGCACTGTACATTATTTCAGTACAGTCTACACAGCCGCTAGATCCTCTCTGGCTTATAGACTGCTCGCAGCGGTTCTCCTTTTCGACCTGCGACTGCAAATTTAATCTGCCTATCCGTTGGATATTTTCCCCACTTAAGCGGGATTTACTCTACGGAATATTTAATTTAATTTATTTAATGTTTTCTTGGGATTTAGAAAAAAAATTTGAACTGATTTAAGGTGGCATCGATCGCGCAACGTAAATAGATCGCGTTGATGCAATTAATCATGGAAACTTGATGTAATTGTTAATCTCATTTTGTCGCTGCGATACGGTACGTAACAAGTTCGCCGTTTTCTAACTGAATTGTGACGAGCGATAATGCGCCAATTAAGCCGGGGAGAGCTTGTAACGTTACTGCTGCAGCACAAAGGAATTTAATTTAGTACTCCATTTTTAGAACATCGGCATTAGGTCTTAACGGCGCGATCTGTAATTACTTATTCTTGACTGGGGCGACCTCTTTTTCGTCCTCTCCGGGCCTTTGGGACCGGCTCGATCGGACGACTTATTAACGCTAACGGTACAAAAGCATTGTAATTATGCCTCTCGCGTTATACGCCGAGCAAAAGACGTATTTAATGACGCAAAGCGTTACGAGACAAATGAGATCGAGTGTAGGTCACGCATTTATACGCTGTGTTAGATCGACAGCTGTCGGTCCATTATTTCAGTATCTTCGTCGTCAATTTCAATTCGTTTAATTGCTGCTTCTAAGAAAATAAAACGGCTAATAATGACTAATCGATAGAATCGGAACTACGAGACCGTGTTGAAGTTTTAGATGTACATCGTTTTAAATGTCGCTGTAGTTATTAAAGTAGATGAAGGGGAGAATTATACAATCATACCGTAATTTTACATCGATTATATAAAATTAATACATTGTGAAGGAAAAAAGATAAAATGCAAATGAAACTATTACTTTTATACTTGCAGCGTAGTTGCTATTGAAATAGATCTTTGTTCATCTCTTTTCTCTATAAAAATTTTTTTTAGTGAAGCACCACGTCTGATAAACTTAATATTTGCAACTTATTTCCCGCGATTGTTTTGACCATGGAAACCGCTTCGTCCTTCGTGCGAGGGTAAACTACACGACGAGTGCGTTGCAACGAGAATTCCCAGGGCCGTATTTCGCGGAAGTCACTCCGGATTAACTGCATTAAAGTTTCTCCGCGGCTCCCTTAAAATATTGCTACGGCTTAAACGTTTTTTAACGCCGAAACTTTTGCCTCCCTCGATTTATTCGAGAGCGAAATTATCCGTTATTTACCGACGAGAGAGCGGTAGGAAGGAGGACGGTGGAAGTATTCTCTCTCTTTCTCTTTCTCTCTCTCCCTCTCCGTTTCTCACTTTTTTTTTCTTCGCTTCCCTCATCTCTCGGCGGCGCTTTCGTGTGTCTGGCGAAACCAGTTTTTGATCGCGCGCCGGGTTAAGGGCGGCCATTTCCGGTCCGCGCGCGCCTCCCTCCCTCCTTCTCTTCGCGTCCCTCTCCGCGTCCCTCATATCCGGTACGGCACTTGCAACGTTTTAAACCCGCTGCTCTCTCTGGTACACTCGGACGACCTTTTTTTTCCCCCCCGGGAGAGCTTGTCGGGCGTAAAATCTTCCCCGGCCGCGGCGTCGGGACGGCGAGAGGGGGGCGACGGCGGCGCTCTCGAAAAATAGGCAAAAAATCCACCTTCATTATGAAACGTTATCTTTCTTTACGTCCGACTTAATTAGCTCGCCGCGTCCATTTTTGGGGTATTACAATGCGCGGAGACCCTGGGCAACCCCCGGGTGAAAATTAAGTCGCCCGCGCTGTCGCACGTGAATCACTTTGATAGATTAAGCTGCAGCGATGAGATTCAATTGGATTTTCACCGAGCGGCGGCAACGTGCGCGACTTTGTAATACGGACTTTTTAACATTTTTTTTCTTTCTTTTTGAAAAGAACTGACCATTCTCTCGGGAAGAAATAATGTGTATACGCGTCGGTTAATAAGTAGATATATGCAACAGACGTTTGCATTTATCCGGTCGCTTTACGACGTCGCGTTGAGACCTGCCATTTCGACGTTATTAATGAAGATTCATATTACGTGCTTCGCCGCGATGGCGCGTTTCTCTATAAGCTCGTTTCAGCCGGATACAGAGGAAGACAGAGCTAAGAAAAATAACACACATCTACCTCGCCGCGTAATAAATGGCTTGTCATAACTGCTTCCATTTTTGCATAATCCTATCATGGATTAATGAACTCAATTTCTTCATACTTGCACAGCCGTGACAATTTGAAAGTCGCACGATCCTTATGTATCCGTCGTATCTTTCCGCATAAAAATTCGCTCGATTCCCAAAGTAAACGATTAGCATGCGGGCTAAACGTGGGTATATTCGGATTTCTCGAAACGAAGCTGCGCAGCTTCGGGGCGAACGGGAAGAAACACGAAAGCGAAAGTGGCCGTCCGCCGCGGTGGTCCGGCGGCGCGCCCGCTTCAATTAAGATGAAAATTTGAGAGGATCGCGCGCGCGTGCAGGCTGGACTGGCCGGGATCGTGAAAGCCGCCCGCCGCCGTCGTTGTCGCCGGAATCGTCGTGGCGTTTGACGTTTTACGAGCGATCCACGCGCGCGCACGCGGCGATCGTCAAAAAAGAAAAAAAAAATAAGCGCCCGCGCGCGCTCGCTTTGGAGGCCGATGTAATTGCCTCGAGGAGGAGAGAGAGAAGGAGGAAAAAAAAGAATCAATGAAACCGATAGGTCCGTTACGTCGCTCCGTTTCACCTGCCTTCCCACGGTGCGCGCGTTACCGGTGCGGCCAAATTTACTCCGAGTGAAACGTG